GCTTAATTTGTTAAACAATGTTTTTAACATTTCACTCTCTTGAGAAGCCTACACTTTAAATATATGTAAGATTGATGTTTCTCCAAAATAAAACTAAGGTATAAAGACAAGGTAGTAATTGGCCCCAGTTCCTGATACATTAGTCATTTGTTAAATGGATGGATGTTCTTTCCTCTTTTATGGGGTCTCCTGTTTCTGTAAAGGTCTGATGAAGAATGTCATTTCCTTTCATGGAAATCTCAGCCTGACAAAATACTGACTAGAAACTGTACATGCAAACAGAGCTGCACTTATTTGAACAGACAATGCATGATTTAATGTTATTACCAGGTAAGTACAGAATCTCAAACTTTCTCAAATAAGATACTGTCTTCTCTTTTCAAAGAATATGTAAGGATATCTAATAGAAATCCCTGCATCCCAGAGCAAAATATATAAAAGAAGGTTAGGTCATGAGACATTTTTATGTTTAAATCTAAACTCTCCTCTCTAAACACCTCTATTAACATACCATACTTTAGTTGTGAACAACCTTCTAATAAAAACTGAAATCTTTAATATTGAGAAACATTTATAAATAATAGATCCTTTAAATATCCCTGAACTTTATTCTAAATCTTATAAGGAGAAATAATAATCGCTTTACATAACCACTGATATCATTTTAACATTTGATGAAGATGTTAATTTATGATTGGTTAGCAGTTTATGGCTGTCATTAGTTTTTCAGTTTGGTCCACATTAGAAATCTATTTTTCTTTTTTATTTTAATCTGAGACAATTATATAAAGATATGGTTATGTTTTATCTAAAATGTATCATTCTACTATAGCATTTGAAATTATTCACAGATCATAGTTCTTATATGTGCATATATGAATTTAAAAATACAGCAATAAAATGCTTGAAACAGATCATAAATTTGCTTCATATTTTATTGCATCTCTGAATCAGGTTGGGAAGACAAGGGCAACTATAGTCTTTGGGAAAGAATTAACCCTTTCTCAAACTGGAGGAGACTGATATCACACTGTGTATAATGCAGCCAGTGCCTGCATCCAAACATCCTGGGGTCCTGTAAAATAGGCTTGTCCACCATGTATTGGTGGGGGCAAGATGCTAACAGCAAAATCCTCTTTCCTTTTGCAATCTGATCTCTCTCTCTCTCTCTCTCTCTCTCTCTCTCTCTCTCTCTCTCTCCTGGTTTTGCATCAAGTCAGAAAAGTCTCCTGGATCATATTAAGGTTAGTAATTTAAGAAAACTGATGATTTTAACTCAAATCAAATGTCTAGAAATACAAGCAGAGTTTCCTTGACAAAGGGAGAAACAGAGTTCTTTGAGCTTTAAATTAGTGCACTTTTTTGAATTCCTAGGCTTGGCATGTGCTGCCTAGGAGACCCACTGCACTGCAAGGTGGTGCTGAAAGGCAAAAGCCTAAGGACATCCTTAAAAGAAAGTTCAAGGCAGAGTCCCTCAAATTTGTTTCCTGTCACACAGGCAATAGCGCTGGCTAGATGGGCCTGAAGGGCCAGTCTCTGGGAAGCCCAGGGAGAAGGGGTGCTCCTTAAGCCCGGGGTCTCCAGCAGAGAGGAAGATCCGCATGAACAGTGCGGTGGGCAAGAGTGCTGTGGAAGTCTCAGTCTTTAATTCCTCTGCAGTCTGCAGTCAAGGGCAGGACAGCCTCCTCTTTGCACTGTACTACTACTTGCTCAGGACTGGGGTCAGAACAGAGCCCCTTGCCACCCTGCCTGGAACTCTGATGCTAGTGACCACATCGATGGACAGCAAGAACCACAGATCTGCTCTTGGGGGAAAGGCCTCTCATCCTGAAAGTTGTTTCTACTCTTAAAACAGAAGTTGCTGTCTCCCAGTTTTCCCACCTACTGTGCCTAATGTTTGAAGTAAAAGGCCCAGTTTAAATCAGCCTGAAGCTCATTGGCTTGGCAAATCCAGGGGCATTTAAGTTATAAATGCCAAAGCAGAGCACACCAGAGGCAGGCTCAATTATTTTGCCAACAGAAGAAAAAATGTTAATTGATGTAAAGTTGCTTGGCATGTGAATAATTTAGTATGGCCTGTGTTTTAATTAAAATAAAACTTATTTATGTTTCTGATGTTTACATTTTGCAATTTAATTTTGTATAGAAGCTCCGATGGGTAGTGTACTCACACACACACACACACACACACAGGATTCCCCAGGGGGAATCACATTTTGCTTGGAGGTTGGACCAGCACTCATTACCCGCGCTTTCAGGAGCACTCTTCGATCTCCACTGGCTCCGCCGCTGCAAGAGAAAAGTGAACTCTCATCATTATTTTTTAAAGGCTAGGAAGTGTATTAGCCCTTTTCCTAGTGGTAATTAGTTACCATAGCATCTAATACGTAAATGTGCCCAGAGCACACCATTAACAGTTAAACGGAGGATTCAATTTAACACATGATTATATCTTTCATAAGTGATTACATTGGAAAAGCCAATGCCACTCTTTCTGGAGCAATAGCAGGGTCGGGGTCTGTAGAATCCGCCGGATTTGGCTTCAGAGAGGGAAAGTGAGTGGAAAAGGGACTTCAATGAGCCTCTGTCCTCTCTGCTGGACTGCTGGCTATGAGGGTGAGTAGCAGCCAGGACTGGAGGGAGAAGATATCAGTGTAACACAGAGGCTTGGAAGAGTTACCCAGCTGCACAGCTGAGGGCACAGGACCAAGAGAGGGAGGGAAGGATGACAGAAGCTTTGAAGGGGATCATTTAGTGGTACGAAGAAGTAAGGGAAAGCTGGCAGCTTCTGTTAATACCCACAGTCAAGCCCAGGAAAAGATCAAAGTGGAAGTAAAGGGCCAGGTCTTTAAGTCTTGGAACTCTTTAGGTCACAACTCCCTAAGCTACCTGAGCAGCAGATCAGCTGAAGAGGTATACCTGGGAGCAGTGCCCCAACATGCCCCAAGATGCAGTGAGGCTTCTGGGTAACCCTTATCCTCACTGCCCTAGGGCTCTGGGCTGTCTGGTGGAGCCAAGGGCACTTGAGCAGGAGCACCCTGAATCCCCCAGCTGTAAGTCATCCCTTCTTACTTGGGTGTTCCAGACATCCGGGGTCATGTGTGTTTGGGCTAACAGGGCAGACCCTCAGAAGAGTGGCCCTGGGCAGGGATAGCTTGTCAGGAGGGGGGGAAACAGTTTCTTTTGAACCCCTAGTTTCTTACTCTTAAAATTGCAGTTGAAAAACTTTGGAGAGGCTGGAGTTAGGGCAGAGAGGGGTACTTAAATAAATCCAAGGATCTCCCCTCTGTTCTTTCAGATATCCCAGGATTGTTCCTACAACCATAGGATAGCCAACTCTTCAATCTGGAAAGAAGGCTTACTTGTGTGGAATTAGTAAAATGCAAATAAATGTTATTAACTATGCTACCTCTCATAACTATTCATCTGATATTTCAGTTTACTCTCACATCCCTTCATGTCCCTTCACCTACTTCTATCTCCTCATGAGTAAGACCTTAAGTCATATTGATTAAAGGGTGAAAAGAGGCTATTTTTTTCTGAAGTTCAAAATTTGTTACTCTGTTTGATTTCTAATAATAATTGAACAGCACAGAAGTTGTAGAGGAGGTATTTGAAGAGGTCTTCTTAACAGAAATATTAAGCTGTAAATCTTGCAGCAAATGTATCTCCCATAATGTTAATATGCAAAAGAGAGAGAAAGAAAAAAAAAAAAAAAAAAGGACTGGTGGTGGCTGTGGTTAATTCCTAATCAGAATGATGGACAGCAGGGCCAGAACAATACAAACTAATGGCTGTGTTGCTGATCACTTTACCCCTTGATTAAAGACACCCAATTATGGCGCAGAACAGTGTCGTAATTATGTTTCTTAATCACATCCAGGAGGTTTAATTGCCTTAACGATGTGTTTCATTAAATGAATTTAGGTATTATAGTCGACAGTTTTCATACACAGTTGTTTTCAAATTAACATAATATTAGACATCGTCATGGAAATTGTTTTAATAATCATAATTAGACGCACCCAGGCTTTGTCTGGTAAATGCTGAGAGACAGGTCTCCTCCTGCCCGGGGGCTGCCCTGGTCTCTTCCTTCTCTCTACCCCCACTCCCAGACTGGGAGGGCTCCAGCTTCAAGGTCCTTTGCTGTTATGTTTTCTGAAAAGTTACAGGTTCTGATTAATCTTCTTTGATGGCAAGTGGAGCAGAAAATATCCTTCCTTACCCCCTACTAAGTTTGATGGCATTTAGGGATATCTTTATGAGCTGAGGCTACACAGACAAAAATGCACTTAGCACACTGGGTACAGAAGAAACACTGTAACTTCTTTACCAATATATCAACACCGTGGTCACCACCATCTCTGCTACTTCCACTACAATAAGATTACACCTTCTACTATTGAGGGCAACATAAATGTCCAAATAAAAGCAAGGATGTCACTCTTTAGTAGAATCTATGCCCAACCCAATCCAAATATCTAAAAATTCCATTAACAAACACCACTTAGGGCAAGCTCTGGTATTACTTACAGTAGTATAATTCAACCCACTTGATTCTTCTATCATAAATATTGAATTAATTAGATCAGTGCTCAGAGAATCCAAATCCATTTCTTCTTGGCCTTCAATCATTTGCAGGTAGGCACTTTGTTAAGAACTTTCTAAGAAACCCTATTTTGGTGGCCCTTTGAACAGATAACACTGTCATACAAGTGGAAAAGAATATCAGGGACAGCAAGGCCTTCTAAGTTCATGCCAGCAGTCAGGAATTCTGCACTTCCGGGTCCCATCACTGACCCTATTCACCACTCTCTCCATGTCGAGGCTCAGCCACTGTCCTTTTAGCAAGTAAATAAGAGAACTAGGGCTACTCCTAGCTATGCATCCCTGAGAAAACTTTAGTTCCACCTTCTCTGAAACTCCTTCTTTTTTGTTACCTTTCAAGCAAAGAGTAACACAGAAAAGAGATTATTCCTTCCACAAAGCACAGCATAAAATGTTTGATCAAAATACTTTAATAAAGATTCTTTCTGACATAGATACACATACAAATGGTCGTACATAGCTGTCATTGTCTGATTGACCTATTTAATATATATTTATATATCATTCTTTTACACATCCAAAGCCCACCATCAGATCCACCAGAACTCCCAACTCACCATCCAACCTGACAAGCTGAATTTGTATTATCTGTAAGGAGTGGAAAATAGCAGGACTCCCAAAAGTTTTCTTGAATTTCGTAAGATGGAAAGGCAGGCAAATAGCCATGCAAACTAAAACTGAAAGCTCACTTTGGGTAAATAGCTTCTTGCTCTTCCTTACTTTTATTTTATTTCCTTTTAAATTTTTTTTTAGAAAAATAACAAAGGATTTCACACCATAGGTAAATCAAACCAGTCTTTCAACTTAAATAATTCTCCACAATTAAAATAACATATAATACATATATTTTTAAAGTAATTAAATTAGACCTTTAAAAATGCACAGCACACCCTGGAAAAAATATTTGCTAAGCATGTTTTTACTTATATAGGAACTATTGCTGCGATGTTTTTTTTTCCCTTTTGGAATGCAAATAAGTCCCCTTTCAAAAAGAGATCAATTAATTCATCAATTAAGAATACAGCTTTCCTGTAATTTTTGGACTAAAGCAATTTATTAAAGCTCAATTTAAATACAAGGATGATGCAACTGAAAATATCCAGGTGACCTTTCATAAACCTAAGCAGCTCAAATACATCAATATTTCTCTTCATACTTGTTGGCAAATAAACACTTGGCACACAGTATAAGTTAATCTATAAAACAGAATTTTAGAGGCATTAAAAAAAATCTGCACAGAAGACCCATGACCTTAACACATGATAAATACTGTTGATATGGAAGGATCATTGAAGAATAACAAATAAATAGCATGAATTGTTAATACATCATTGCAGAGTTGAAAGTAACAAGGTGCACATAAATATTTTTAAATGCAATTCTTTCAGCCACAGTTTTTTATATCACTCTCGCCAAAACTTTGAGCATTTTCACAGGATTAAAGTTCAGAGACAATAAAAAATACAAGTCTTTCATAGCAATGTGTCTCTTCCCCTCCCCCCGCACTGAAACCAGTCTACATTTCAAGTTAGCTCCTGGCTCAGAATCAAAATTTATTTTCAAGTGCCCTTTCTGATTTGTCTGAATGAAGATTTCGTCCCACCTGCCTCCCAACCCTGGACTCCTTCTCTCCCCTACTGCACTAGCCAGATTCACAATTATTAGTAGGATTAGTATTTTGTCATTCAAAATTCTCCACGCTTAATAACTTCTGAACTTTTTTTTTTTTCACCTTTAAGGAAAACTCCGCTTCCTCGCCGCCTTCTAGGCTGCCACCAAAGTTGCCACTTTTCTGAGAAAATCGGACATCCATACTCCATCCCTCCTGCACCTCCCTTCACCCTCCCTCCCCTCCCAAAGACAGAGATTCTGGGGATGTCCAGACTAAAAGTCTCGCTTGTCTCTGATACTTCTCAGTCTTGCCTCTGCTTTTCTTTGCTCTGCAAGTGTCTCACAACTCCAAAAGAACCAAAATAAAAGGGGTGGGGAGCAGCTTCGCGCTTTCCTTCAGCTTTTGGGTCGGTCTGATGTGTTTAAGGCTTCTCCGTGCACTGTTTGCAGAGGCTGGAGGAGACGCTGTTGAACAGGGCGCACTTCTCCGGGCAAGAGGCGGCGGGGGGCAGCCCAGCGCTGAACGGGTAGCCGGCCGCCTGCTCGTAGGCGCCGAGCGCCGGGTGCAGGGCAGCGGCCGCAGCTGCCGCCGCCGCCGAACTGGGCAAGGAGGCTGCCGAGATGGCCTGGCCCTGGTTGAGGTAGGCGACGAGGCGCCGCATCTCCTCCAGGGCCTGCGCTTGCATAAGGATGTAGTTCTTGGCGAGCAGCAGCGTGGCGATCTTGGAGAGCTTCCGCACGGAGGGGCTGTGCGCGTAGGGGATGACCGCGCGCAGCTCGTCCAGCGCGTCGTTCAGGTCGTGCATCCGCCGGCGCTCCCGGGCGTTGATGTTGAGCCGCAGCGCCTTCTGCTCTTTGGATTTCTTGCTGCTGCCCCCGCCGCCGCCGCCGCCGCCGCCGCCGCCACTGCTACCCCCGCTGCCGCCGCCGGAGCCCCCCGGGGGAGCTCCCGCGCCGCCGTGCAGGTGGGCGTTGGAGCAGCCCTCCGCCGCTTTGGCGCCGCTGCCCCCCGCGCCCGGGGAGGCCCTGGGGTCGGCGCTCCCGGCCCGCAGCACCAGCTCGCAGCGACCGTCGCTGTCGTCGTCGGGGCTCTGCTCGCCGCCGCTGCTCTCAGCCACCGAGGCTCGGCTCGCGCTCTCGCCGTATTTGAGGCACAGGGCCGCCCCGGCCGGCAGGCTGCTCAGAGTGGGGTCCCCCCCGACGCCGGCTGAGCCCACCAGCAGCCCGGGGACACTCACCCCGCCGCCGCCGCCCGCGCCGCCGCCGCCACCGCCGCCGCCGCCTCCACCTCCAGGCGGCGGCAGCAGCAGCCCTGCTCCCTCGGGGTCCGCGGGCTCGAAGCAGCCCAGGGGCGACGAGGAGGACGACGCCGGGCGTTCCCGGGGCGGCGGCGGCGGCGCCAGAGTCAGGTCCATGCCCGGGGGCGTGGAGCGGAAAGCCGCCTCCAGGCGCTTGGTGCTGGAGGCGCTCAGGCTCTTGTGCAGGAAGAGGTCGTCTTCGCCCGCGGCCGCCGGGCCGAGGTGCAGCCCGCGCTCCATGGCCCCGGGCCGGAGGGGCCGGGCCCGCCGCACCCGCGCCCGCCGCCTGGCCTCGGGACTAGGCGGCCGGGCAGCCGCACGCGAAGCGGGCTCCGGGGCTGGGGCGCGCGTCGGTCCCGCCGCTGCTAGCAGCCCGCGCCCCTTCTTTCTTTTTCTTTTTCGCCTTCCCCCGCGCTCGCCGCCTCCTCCTCTTCTTCTTCTTCGTCTCCAGCCGACGGTGCCCGCTGCTGGGGCTCACCATGGGCCGCGGCCCCGCATGGTGGGAGGGTGGGCGCGCGGGGAGCGGGGCCGCCGCAGCTCGGAGCCCAGCCCGCGCCTCCGCTCCGCACCGTTTATCTTGCTTGGCTTCACCTTCAGGAGATTTCCGGACCCATCAGCCCGCCGCCGCCACAGCCGGGGGAGTCTTTTACATCATTATCTCTGAGTAGGTTATTATGAAGAAGACTCGCCTGTTGGGACAGCGCTTTCTACCCAATCAGGTTAACGTTTTAATTAATAGGATTAAAACGGTAACAAACAATCGCAGGCGCTATCTGGCCGCGAGTCTGAATAGTTTCATTTCCCAGGTCTGAAGACAGGCAGCAGCTAGAGCTTTATAAAAGGCGCCTGCTCCATTATTCTGCCTGCCATCTGTATACACAGCTTAGCGCATATGTTTGCAAGGCGCTGGGTCCTGTTAGTAACCCAACAACTGCCTTTAGCTTGACATGTGTGGCGACTTTCACTCATCAATGAGCACACTAAAAGCCCTACTTAGAGCCGAGGATGTTCTTTGCTCCTTCAGCAAATTGTAGATCGGCTTCGAAGCCTGGGAGTCCCGTGAAAAGCAGACGCCCCCACCCACTGCACCCCACCCCCACTGCCCTTCCCTCGCCGCCGCCGCTGTCTCAGCTTGTGCTAAATTACTCTTCCAGGGGACAGCTACACTCTATTCTGCTTGCAGGGTGTCTAGGCTCTGATTTTTGGAGGAGACTTTTGGGGGAAGGTGGTGTTCCAAGCTGTTTTATCCAAAATTCACTATAGATTTTCTGCTGGTGAAACAGCGAAGTACTGGTCCTCCCAGCACTGTACTCTGCCTTTTCCCTTACACCCTCCTATCTGACCGTTTCCTATCCGGATGAAAAACAGAAAAAAACACAATAAAACAAAATGAAGACCAAGACGATTGTGGAGTCCATTTGATTTATTAAGAATTATTAGAGGAAGGTTAAAGGAGATACTTTTGCAGTACAATACAAACATGAAGCATGAGATTTTCCAAACAGGAAGAAACTGGTTTCTCAAACTTTCGAGATTAAAATGCAGGTGCATCAGAAGAGCCGACACCAGAAGTCAAATCCTTTTCCACACCAACTAGGGACATGTGTTCATATAGGCACAAAAAGTAACCACCGCATCCAGGAAACCCTATGGGGACGCTGGGATCTGCCTGGCTTCTACTTGGAGGGCCCGTTAAGCGGAGGACTGTGGAAACAAGTGCTCCTTTCCGGATGGGAAATGGTACATGCAGTCCTCTGGCTCCTGAGTTGGGTCTTTGTTGGAGTACATGGTATTTAACAGCTGACTTTCATCCTTATGACATAAGTAAAAGCAATATTTCCCAACACTTCCAACAATTCTTTCTTGTGTGGCAGACTTGCGGAAGGCTGCGCAGTTTTGGTTTCTCTAGTTTCATTAAAAACCTTTTAATTGTGGCTTTCAGAGTTGGCCCCAGGTGTTGGACTCTTTTCATTACATTTTCCTCTAATGTGATGAAATTCTAATTCTCTCCTTACCATATGGTTAAATTTCCCCACTGAGAATTAGTTGAAAAAGGAGAAATAATCTATTAATCTCTGTAATAGATTCACAAATGAGGTTCTCCACAGAACCTGTTTTTGAATGGTAATATCTGAGCAGTTGGATGCGTTATCTAAAAAGGAAGGTTGAGAATCACACTGAAATGTACGCATTTTCACCTGGAAAGGATGAAATGGAGCCCAGGCTGTCTTGCCAAAACAATTGCCTGACATCCAGTCTTCAGGGGACCAAAACGCTAAGCAGTCCTGGTGGGTAACCTAAACTGCTGCTTCCTGTGTATTGGATCCCATAGATAGAGAAAGAGCAAAGGGGCTACAGAAAACTCCATTTCCTGGGACCCAGGCAGGCACATCTGATGGTGTCTCTCTGGAGACCAGAAGGTTACTAGAAGCGCAGGGCTGCCGTTAAATCTCTGCTTGGCTGGCTCCTCCCCTCTCTGGCTTTAGGAAGCTAAAGACAGGCTAGTGTTATTGTTTTTCAATTAAAGCTTTGTTTTCACTGAGATCATAAATGAAGATTCTCCATAATTGTAGGAAGGACATGCTTGCCTGATGATGCTAACATAGCAAAGTCCTGGGGTTACTTAAAGGAGCATGGAGGCTAGCACAGTAGTGGCGCTGTGGATGACTACTTGTCCCCTGTCCCTGTCTGCCTGACCTAATTTTGCATTCAGCCTGCCTTTCCTGTAGGCCAGAACTTTCCTCAAGACTCCTGGATTCCTGTCCGTCTGCAGTGGGTGCTTGAAGGGCATAGGATTCATCACTCTTAGGCATGGTGGAAGTGCAGATTTAGTGGCTAGTGATTTGTGGGTTTGTGCCCTGGAGGCTCAGGGTGATAAAGCCAGAGTGACCCTAGGTGTGGCTGAGGAGCTACCTGCCCTGGCTAGATTTCAAAGCCTCATAGATGATCTTGTATTTTTCTGTGCTGTCAACCAAGTAACTCAGAACACAGGACAGCTTTGCTCCTTTCCTTTCCGGGGCCAAATTCCAGGATCTCTCAGCACCCGCTCTCCATTTCCCACGACCATCAGGACTTCTGAAACAAACCTTCATACAACTTTATTCCACTCAGTAGGAACCAAACACTAGTTTCAAGAAAATCCTCCTGGTCTTTCCAGAAGAGGCAACTGCTTAATAGTTGCTAGAAGGTTTGCTTTGAGAAATGGAAAACTTACAGACACATTAACCACAGTTCTTATACAGCAGTCAGAAGAATGGTCTTGGAGCTTTATGCATTCATAAACTTTCGCTGATTGCTTATCTCAAGTTGTCAGGCACTTAACACTGCCCTTATCTCACTGGGAATGAAAACACATCTGCCCGATGTCACCAGGTTTAAGCGTAGCCAGCGCTGAGTCACAGCCTCAGCTTCCACTTCATGCTTGGGTGTGACCAGGCTGCCTGGTTTCCGTCTCTGGGAAGAGTGACTCAACCATGCACCAAAAGTGCCTCAGGACGTAGGAGCTCTGCAAAGCTGTGTGCTGGGAGGGTCTGGGCTCCGGGGTAATTGCAAATTGGAAAGGTGGCAAAAGGGAAGTTAAAAAAAAAAAAAAAAAGCTTCATTTTTGTCCGGGCAGTGGGGCAGTGCGAGGGTGGGAAACCACGCATGACCAACCATCTTGACCTGCAGATGAGCCCTTAGAGTGGAACATCTGGAAGGAAATCCTGACACCGCAGTTTCAGAGAGGGGTGCTTAGAGTCCCTGAGGAAGTGCAGGCACAGGAGACACAAGAAACTGTTCTTGGCTGGTGCTGCCTCCCTGAATTCTGTCCGCTGGGGCAGCTGGCACTACTGAGGGGACCGCCCAGTCCTGTGCACCTGATACTGGGCTGGTGATTTAGGCCGTTAAAAACAGACCAGGAAAGGAAATATTCATGGCCGAATGTTGGGTATCTTATATATTGCACACACACACACCAGAGCACGTGGCCTAAAGATGAATAGCTTTGTGATTGCCAGAGGGAGCACACTTATGGCTTAGAAAATATTTAGACATATTCAGCAGGCGGCACCGCCTTGAAATGAGAACTCTGTGTTTCAGACCAAAGAAATGTTCAAGTTATATTTAAATTTCTTAGATACCACCCTAATATTTGCTTACATTTTGAAATAAGAGATCCAAATTGTAAAGGAACACAATCTACCATGAAGTGAAAAGACGGAATTGCCTCTGTTTTTATAATCTGATAAAGCAGTTAACTGCTTCTCTAGATTAAACAAAAGCCTGGATTTGGGTAACTCTGCGTTTTCTGAGGGCGGGGGTTTGTGTCTTGGTGTCCTCAATTTGTGTATTTAAGAACATTTTAAAAATAAAAAAAAGTTTGGTAAAAATTAGGTCAAATCTAACTTGGGTGATCTTTTGAAAATGCGACTTCTTTCCAAGCCGTGGGATCCAGACCACTTCTCCCACACCCACCCCCAAGCTCCAGTCTATAGCTAAGTTCCACTGGGTGTCCATCCACAGTGGGACCTCTCCAGAACCTGCCAAGGGTAGCTGCAGGCTCTCAGGGGCCCCGCCTGCCTTCGGCCGCAAGGCGCTCCGCAGTCTCTCCAGGCTTGCTGATTCCGGGCTCCCTCCTGCCCTCGTCCCAAGCACGGTGACCTTGAAGTTGCACTTGGCTCTCCGCTCCGCGCTGTCTGGTGGCCTCAGGTCAGCTTAAACTCTGAGCGGCCCAGGTGGCGGGTTGGAGGGCTCAACGTCCTGTGCTCCCGTGGAGTTTGAGAGGCCGGAATCCACTCGGTGGCAGAAGGATTCCAGCTCGTTTAGTCCCCAGGGTTAAGCTTGTCGCGTCAGTATTTTCATAGCTTCTGCTAAGTCTTACAGAGCTCCCCGCAGGGACGCGGCATCCGCGCGTGTCCGGGAACTGGCAGGACTGAGGAGCAGGACAGTAAGGAGCGAGAGCCTGCAGGCCTGCAGGAGCTGGGGCGCCCTTGGAAGTGCCCCGGGGTTCAGGCTCCAGGTACCCACCATTCTGAGGATCCCACTTTGCGAAACTGGGAACTCACTGAAAGTTCTTTGGAGAAGATTTTCCCCAAACAGTTTAAAGAAAAGAAGTCTATCCTCACTACTGTGTGGTAACAAGTTTACCTGAGTGTGAAGAGACACGGAACAGAAACTCTCACCCCTGAGAAGCAACCTGCTCAGCCCACAGCCAGCAACACAGTTGCAGCGCCCACCACGCGAGGTTCAGCTGGCTGCTTCCCTAACTTTTCCTCCTCTTGGTGATTTTTAAGGCTCGCGATCTGATCTGTATGGCGAGTGAACAACCTGGAGCCCGAACCCTTCGGCAACGATGCGAGATGCGCCAACGAAGAGTGGAAAACTAGGGAAAGGGTGCATGAAGAATCCTCCCCACCTTGGGTGCCTTGGTCATACTCTTGGGGACTCATGTAACTACTTGGGTTACATTTTTCTGCCTCCTGAAATTTTATCTTCATGGAATGTTTAAAAATTCTTTTAAAAGTTAAAGTTTAAAATGATTCGAATAAGCAAAACACTTTTAGCGTTCTTCGAATGTGCAAAAATATGGGGGAAAAATCTAAAAATTCAGAGCAGGACTTTGGGAGTTTTAGCTCAGTGATTTAAAACCCACAGCGCCATCTTCTGACAATGAAGAGAATATCGAGGTGGATGAATGCTTAATATTGAACGTGAAACCCTGTATGTGTGAGATGCAATTTTGCATTTCAAAAGTTAATGATAAATTGATTATGGTTTAAAAACACTAAGCATTTATGAACATTAAAAGTTTTCATACACAATCTTGAAGGTGAATTATTTATAAATAGGTACTTGCATATATACTCACATAGATTTTATCTGTTTAGATGCAATTTGAGGAATAAATGAAGCCACAGATCAACTTTCAAATAAATATTTGACTATTGATTATATGCAAAAGATATATTGGTGTTATAAAAAATTAACTAATGAAAAGCCAACTGTTGAATTAATGTTCAATGCCCTAATCATTCAAACACCATGTGCAGCACAAAAGAAATAATATAAAATTATCCACTGAAGCATACATTCTCCTATTTCTTTACTGTCCTTTACTAATATTCATTAATAAA